GATGAAAGGAAATGTTCTCAAGACGATGGTTAATCCGGAATTGGCTGCCCATCGGAATCTCATCTTCGGCATTGGAGACAGAGGAAACACTAGCAAAATAATCTCCTAACGCCTCGGCTTTCTCTTCATCAGAGTAGAAAAGAGAGCCGGAGGAATCAGAGAGCACAGGCAAGTTCGGAGAGGGCTTTGTCCTTTGCCTAATAAAGTGAAAAAGACGTTTGAAATTGGGTTTAGTCGACAGCTGCTTTTCGCGGTTTACAATGAACTTTTTGATGTGGTGGTCGAGATCTTTGCAAGCTTTCCTATAGAGCTCATCAGATAGGGGATCGGACCGTGGGCGGAAGAGTCAGGTTTTTTGTTCAAGCAGATTCTGTAAGGGGTATTTGATATTTGACTGAGGAGGCTGTTTGAATGGAACGAAATAAGAGAATGCGTAATAGACTTCTAGACAAAACCTCTTGTAGACATCGTTAATAGAGGTATAATTGTCGAAAAGCGCCCACCAGTTTACACTCTGGAAGTACGAGCCCAATAATCGACAGTCAACATTGCTAAAGTCAGGTGTAGGTATAGTTCGATTCAAAGCAAAATCCTGGATCACATCGAAAGACACAACATTATGATCAGCATTGGCAAGGGGAGGGTGAACACTGACATTGGCAACAATTGGTGAAGAGGACAGCACAAGGTCCAGGGTATTATCCCCACGTGTAGGCTGACACACCCACTGGGTGAGACTAGACCTTTCGAAAAACTTGAGATACTGTGCTGCACAGTGGTTTTTCGGATATTTAGTCGTCCAATCTATGTTGAGGTTGAAGTCACCGGTCAGAATCGTGTGGCAACGGGCAGAAGTGAGATCGGAAAGAAGTTCAATGAAAGAAGCATCGATAGTAGCGGGAGTATTAGGAGGGCGATAAACGGCAATGACTCGGAGTATAGACGAGGAGACTCCATTCAGAAGTTCAATGCAAATTATATCAGGACCAAACTCAACTTCGACCTTTATCTCCTTGGAAATCAGGATAGATTTGACTAAAAAGCAAATACCACCGCCTCTTCTGCTTCTACGATCATGCCTGTACACCGTATAGCGGAAGTTAGCTGTCAATTCAGAATCAAGTATCTTAGAGGTAAGCCATGACTCCGTTATTACGACAATATCAGGCTTATGATCATTCAGTAACATGTGCAGATGGTGGATTTTCTTTAAAATGCTGCGGGCGTTGAACAAGAAACAAATCAGAACAAGTTCGTGCAAGAAGCCGTGCTTTCCGAATGTTTCTGAAGCTCAGAAATACGCCTGAGTTCCCCCTTATATACCACCCATTCGCGGAAAGGTTTACCCTTGTTAACCTCGAAGGCTTGTTGCCACAAATCACACTCACGCTTCCTTTCGTCAGGAGTCATGCTTTTCCTGACGAAGACATTTTCAAACCCAGAAGACTTCAAAAGTTTCGCATTGGCCAGTGCTGTGCGCCAGAAGAAACGCGAAGGCAAAAGAAACTTAACTAGCCTGGGACGGCGGGGGTCTTCCTTGCCCATGCGATAAATCTCAAGTGGACGACACTCAACTTTGAGAGCGTCCAGCACCTCAGAGACTTTGGTCTCCAGATCCCCTTGCTTTTCGGATGGTCGTAAGCGGGCAGGAGCTTCCACAGTCCCGCTCAGTACAATACTTCTGGACCTCTTCTCGGCCTCCACACACTCAGAAACGTCGTTGGAGATTTTATCAGCAAGCACTAGAAGCATTTTCTGAATTAGGGGGTCCGAGTTGAAAAGCTGAAAACGAGGAGTAATCAACATCAGAGGCAAGCATTCGAGTTTTGGCTCGATTCATTTTGCTTCATTGCCACTGATTCGTCGGGGCTGCCCTGAGTTTCCCTGCGCCTATTTCTACGACCTACCCTTGATGCCATAATCAATTAGACCTTCCACACCAGAATCGATCGAAAAAACCGTGAGCAAGTACCAAAAAAAGGCGAACCAGGGGGACGGAAGCAGTAAGCGCTAAATCGTCAGCACTGAACCAGAATTATATGAGCAAAAGTCAGTCAAACTCAACACGGTGAATGAGACGGAAAAAATTATTGGAAAATGCCTGAAATAAAACAAAAACGACAGACCACACAGAAACGCCGCCGCTCAGGTCCAGAACCGAAATTGCGAATCATGTATGTATATATGTATATATGTATATATGTATATATGTATGTATGTATGTATGTATATATGTATGTATGCATGTATGTATGTTTGTTTGTTTGTTTGTTTGTTTGTTTGTTTGTTTGTTCAACGGGAAAATCAGTATTACCTGAAAAACACTTTTAGAGTTCGGGACAACTTCAGGTTAGGTGGAGCATGAGATAAGATCAACAAAGCACATATGAGCTGTGCGGAGCTCCGCCAAAGGGGGTGGGGCCAGTGCCGGAACGAGCGGTGCCAACAGTCAAACATCTTATTTTTGCTTGGAAAAAGTCCAGACACCGGGGAAAATGTTCAAAGGTGAGGATTGGGTCAAAAAACCAGATGGAGGAGACAGACGTGCTGTGGGCGAAGCTTTCTCAAAATGGGGGGTACTTTTAAGATGTGTTCATAACTCGATTCAATTGAGGCGCAGAGGCCAGGAGAAAAATAAAGAGTGAGCGGGGCCTTACGCGTGCTGGGCGTGCGTAAGCATAGCGAAGCCCCGCCCACGGTAAGCGAAGTTGCATTCATTTTTGAAAAATGTCCTCCGTTCCAACCGTGGGCGGGGCGTGCGTTGGAACGGAAGACATTTTTCAAAAATGAATGCAACTTCGCTTGGACACACGTTCTAGAATGCGGCAAAAAGATGTTAAGGTCTAAAAGAACAAATGTGGTCAAATCCCCGAAGTGGGCGGGGTTGGCACTAAAGTGGGCGGTGCTCAGACCAAAAATTCATAACTCTGTTCAGCAGTGTTCTGGAATGCGGCAAAAAGGTGTTAAAGTGTAAAGGAAGAAATGTGGTGGGTGGGGTTGGTCCTAAAGTGGGCGGGGGTTAGACCAAAAATTTATGACTGTGTTCAGAAACGTTCAGGGATGCGGCAAAAAGGTGTTAAGGTGTAAAGGAAGAAAAGTGGGCAAATCCCAAAAGTGGGCGGGCTTAGATAAAAGTATGAGTCTACTCGGAACCGTTCTGGGGTGCGGCAAAAAGGTGTTAAGGTGTTAAAGAACAAATGTGATCAAATCCCGGAAGTGGGCGGGGTTGGCACTAAAGCGGGTGGGGCTTAGACCAAAAATTTATAACTCTGTTCAGCAATGTTCTGGAATGCGGCAAAAAGGTGTTAAGGTGTAAAGGAAGAAATGTGTCAAACTCCAGACAAGGCTGGGGTTGGCAATAAAGTGGGCGATGGTTAGACCAAATTTATGTCTCTGTTCAGGAAGCTTCAGGGATGCCCCAAAAAGATGTTAAGGTGTAAAGGAAGAAATGTGGTCAAATTCCAGAAGTGGGTGGGGTTGGCACTAAAGTGGGCGAGGCTTCCAAGGGAAGGATCCCAAGTCGAGGTGGCCATCTGAAATGAGACTTATGCTGCTAGACGTATTTTTTTACGCTGATTTCAAATCTGCATTCAAAATCTGCCAAACGATTCTCTGAACGAAGTTATGAAGGTGGTCTTCGGAGAGCGCTCAACAGGAGAAAGCACAAAAGCCATGGTCGCCGGCAGTCAAGCAGCAGCGGCTTGGAGTGGAGGTATGCCTGACGCTTCACAGGCACGGGACCACGGATCGGGTTTGATGGGCGGTGGCGCTTTTGCATCTTGCAGGACTTTTTCCTCCAGTTTGTAAAAAGCTTTTTACGTAAGTTTCACCGCCTTCAGCGACTTTCTAGTTGCTGGAGCCGAGTCAGTTCCTACCTACCGTCTTCCACTGCTATCGATTAGTTTTTAAAAAAGTTGGGGGTTGCGGTCAGTTTTCAAAAAGGTGATGGTTGCCATGCGGCAAACCCGGCAAAGTATGGTATATATGGATGGATAAAACACTAAAGAACAAGTAATTCGGATCCTGTGATGTTGTACGCACCCCTACAGGGTAGGAGCACAAGTAGATCGACAGTTTCTCATCTATCTTGCGGAATCCCTTTTACGAAGACCTCAATATTGAGGGCGAAGAAGTGATTGAGGACGAGGAGGCCGATCTACTGTGGGAACTGGATGATGAAGAGGAAACAGCAAGCTCATCTAGAGGTTTGTTGATGTATGGTAACGTGGAAGTGTTCAAAGAGCAGGTGCAAATCCTTCTTCCCAGAACATTTGTTAGAGCGAGATAACAAACAATTCCAGGTGGAAAGCGCTATAAGAGAAGTTGAACAATTTTTTCATTCGTTGCGCTCATTGTGAAAGACTTTTGTTTTAAACACTCCGTGCTAGATTATTGCTCCTCTTGTAATACGTAAAAGTTATCTTCAGTGAATTCGAAATGTATAACAATAAGAATAGAGTCCTTGTAACGTTGGTGATTGGAGTAGATGTCGGACGGTTTAAGTAGGAATGACTCGCATCCAGCAACTAAAAAGTCGCTGAAGACGGTGAAACTAACATAAAAAGATTTTTCCAACTTGGAGAAAAAAGTCCTGCAAGATGCAAAAACGCCATCGCCCACCAAACTCGATCCTTGGTCTTATGCCTATGAAGCGTCACGCTTACCTTCTTTCCAAGCCGCCGCTGCTGGACTGCCGGCGACCATGGCTTTTGTGCTTTCTCCTGCTGAGCGCTCTCCGGAGACCAGATTTGAAATCAGCGTCAAAAAATACGCCTAGCAGCATAGGTTCCATTTCAAATGGCCACTTCGGCTTGGGATCCTTCCCTTGTTAGATCAAAAATTTATAACTCTATTCAAAATCGTTCTGGGATGCGGGAAAAAGTGGTGAAATGTAGTAGAACAAATGGACGAATCCCAAAAGTGGGCGGAGTTGGCACTGAAATGGGCGGGGCTCATACCATAGTTATTAAGTCTCTTCAAATGCGTTTTAGAACGCGGGGAAAAGGTGTCTAGAGGTGATAAAAGTGATGTGGTTCGAAGCCTGAAATGGGTAGACTGGATATGGGTACATACGTGCGTCCGAGGATGCGCGCTGCGAAGTGCGTGGCGATTCGAACGACTCTGACGTCTATTATTGGGACGCAAACTTGAAATAGAGTAGAACAGTAGGATCAGCTGACCATACTAATCTACTCTAGTTCAAATTTGGGCCCAAATGTTAGGCGCCAAGGTCGTGAGAACTGCCACGCACTTCGCCGCGCAATTTGCCGAGCGCATCCTCGGACGCACGTAAGTTCCGTCGGTGGGGTTTGCAAAGATGGGGATGGGGCTGAGGTCAAAAATTGATACATCTGCCCTTCACACTAACCCTGACCACATAGGTAACCAACTATGGGATACCACTAAACTCTTTCAAAATTAGGCCAAAAATTTTTTAAAAGTTAGTTAATTTTTTTTAAAAGTGCTTCGACACACAGTAGTCCCTTCTGCACAAGAGCAAGTGCTATATATTAACTTAAGACCTCATAAAATAAATTCTACATTGACCCCGGCCACACAGGTGCATACCCTATAGAGACGTGTAAATCCCTACAACTACCCAAAGTGACTAACCTATCGAAGTTAGTGTTCATGGTCCCACACAGCCCAAACTACACAGAGTTTCTTCGGCTACAAGGGCTGCAGAGGTATTTGTTTTGGATACTTCGGAGGACTCTTCATGGCCACATACAACCCTATTTCACACCCTAAGAAGAATGATGGCTGCTACAGAAGTGTTAGGGAAGAGGCTTAAATGACAAAGGTCTATAATGAAAATCAAAAGCTCATATGGCTCCGTCCCTTATGGCTAGCACCCCCAGCGCACGCAATAGCGTGCGTGGCCTCCTGGTGCAGTCTAAATACAGTAGAGTAGGACAAGGAGAAGGGGGGAAGTCAGAGCGAGAGGGCTCGAGTAGCCTCGACGAAGGGCTGGTGAGTAGCCTGGCGGCTACGGTGGCATTCACCATGACGACCTCCATGCCAGAGGCGGCTGCTTTTATACGGGGGACGGTACATTCGTGCGATTCGAGCTGCGCGCGGCGAAGTTCGTGGCCTTTCGAACGCCCCTGGCACCTATTATTGGGGCACAAACTTGAAGTAGAGTAGATTAGTATGGTCGGCTAACCCTACTAATCTACTTTACTGCGAATTTGGGCCCCAATAATAGGCGCTAAATTCGTCAGAATAGCTATGAATTTCGCCGCGCAGTTTGCCGCGCGCAACTCGAATGTACATGTACACACACCCCTTTTATACCGTGGTTTGTGCATCAACATGATGCAAACTTGATGGATGGCATGACAGCCTCCTCGTAGGTGTTGCGGCAAGGCTGACGAAATCCTGGCGGCTGTCTCGAGCTGACGCATGACTCGACACATTTTTATTTACATTTATGAGTATCATTGTTTATTTTTCAATCACGGCCGAATATAATCAAGGAACGAAATATGAGACGTGTGCCGTTTTTGTTTGTCATAGTAGGTTGTGACACTTTAATCTTCAGAACTTCATTTCAAGAGGGACTGGATTGGTGGAAATTGCTAGGAGGATCTTGTTAGGGGCAGGATGCAAACTGAGCTGTTTTCCTTTCACATGCCGAGAGATAGATATTTTAATAAAAGCTCTTCCGTGGAATATTGTTTGTTGTACGTTATGTACAGCCTTTTTTGCTCTGATAGTATATTTGAGTGAGTGCTCATGATATCTGTTGGGTTTGCGTCTTCTTTTACTCATTATGAAACAATATAAGGCTCATGTGCTTGTTGTAAAATAGAGCCCAAATGTTGATTAAAAGCAGTATTTAGTAGTGAGCCGAAGAGTTTATTTGAGTTATGCTTCAATATGCTTGCTGACAAACTTGCCATGCTAGTGGACCAATCACGTGGCAATGACCAAAATGGCCTCTATATTTTTCAGCTGAGTGTTTCGCTCAATGCTCTTTGACTTCTCTATATATTTCATAGGCTGAAAACTTGAACAGAGTGCAAGAAAGTTCGGTTGAGAACGATGTTGGATGTGGAAATGGTTCAACAGAGGAGTGTATTAGTCTCCTTAATATCTGGAGACGTGAGAAGGACAAGTTCAAGAAGTCTGGTCCCAGTGTTTACACCAAAGATAGATGTAGCGCAGGAGTGGTGAGGTTTCCAAAATCGAAGGATTTGGGGACGAATTCTTTCACGTCTTCCCTTTTAAGGTGAGAACTTTCAGGGGAGTTCGAAATTTCCAGCTACACTTCGAACTGCGTTAACCTCGAATGAAGAGCAGGCTAATGATGCTGTGAAAGTCCTGGTGGAGTTTCTTGGGAAAGCTAAAAAGGAGAAAACTTTCAAGCAACAACTGTGCTATGCGGCGCTCGCTACACCTAATCTTAACAAGTTTTTTGATATGGTGAGTAGTTGGTGAATCCATTGAGCCTTTGTTTTCAAGATGCGCACCTAGTTTTTCAAGGATCTGGCAGTTCCCGCCGGATCCACATTTTATTTCACGCTCCTTTTTTCATATTTTATCGATTTCTGCCCATATCTCTGTTGAGTATTTTGAAACATTCACTGAAGTCAACATTCACTTCAGAACCGCTGTTCCGTAATAGTTTTCAGCTTGAAAACCGCCCCGGAACTTACCGAAAAGTGTAACTTTTGCATCGTTGAGAGCTCGCATTGTCCTTTTTATGCAAGCAGAGAAGGCAGCTACGCTAAGCTAATTTGGAGTAGAGGAGTTTGTTCAACTAAGGTGTGCGCTTGCATGCCTATGGGCTGATGATGAAATAGAATTATAGAATAAGTCGGTATGGAAAAGCAAGGATAAGAAAAGACGCGTCGCTCAGAATCCGACTTTTCGAGGCTGCATCAAGAATGTCCATTCATATATATATATATATATATATATATATATATATATATATATATATATAT